CCGATTCAACTAAATCAGCTCGCAATTTTTCGTCAATAATGCCCAACAATTAATTTAATCTTTCGCAGGTTTGCGCTTATGGGAATGAACACTAGATAATTTCTTCTTCGATTCCACGGTAACTTCAAACAAAGAAAAAATTGAATAAGTGGATTAAGCAATAAACAGAGCTGTTTATTACTAATTTGCAGAATTATTAATTGGTTAATTGTTTCTACTGATATCACATTGCAAAATAAATATACTTTTTGTGTCTCCGTATCCCTAGTTAAATTAAATTATTTATTATTATTTATTAAGTATTCTAGATTTTAAATAAATAATTCTAGATTTTATATAAAAAATATAAATATTATATTATAAATTTAATTTCCGAAACTCGTTTTGGCGCCCCCTAAGGCGTGCGCCCGCATTTTTTGCATGCATGGCATGCAAGGCAGGACTGGCCCTGTATATATATATATATATATATATATATATATATATATATAAATATACAGACCATAAATAAATAAATGAGTAATTTTAGTTTTATCTGCGATCACATTTGTAATTGGCAGAAAAGCAGATAATAAAGTGAATTTGCTATTCGTCACTTTATAAAATATTTTGTATGCAAAAGGCAACGACAATTTGCAATAAAAATTCTGACAATAATATCAATATAATTTATTTTTAGTGAGGAAAAAAGGACATGAATTATATGTAAGTAGACACAATTATGACACAATTTCACAGTTCGCTACGTGAAATAAATAAAATATTTGTGATTCTTTAAATATATGATATGTAAAATAAGTATTAAGATATTTCTTTAATAGTTTGTAATTTATGTTTCAAGTTTGATTCAGTTGTTGCTGTTGTATATGTGGATGCGTTTGGCTCAAGATGCTGCCTATATTGTTGCAAAGGACAAAAAAGCAACTTGTGTTGTTGCAGGCAACGTTGTTGCATCAGCTTTGTCATGGAATACTGGGATCCGCAACACACAAAATGGTAAAAAAAATAATATTAAAATTTTAAGTTTGATTCCAACTAAAATTCTAAACCTCACGTATATACTTGAAATAAATAATTTTAACTTTGCACTTCAGTTTATATGATTCTTAGAAATATGAGATAAGGTCTTTTACTCGAACTCCGAAGTGTTGTTTATTAACTTATCATGTAAACATATATAAACGTCGGCGTCAAATACAAATAATGAAAGATACTGTATTTATAATGATCAATTTGAAAACATTTAATATTTCTCGAATATTTCATTACGGTACGGGAAGTTCCAGCAATTTGCCTTAAGGCACTATGCCATACACCACAAGTTGTTTTCTGATAATTTAGTGTAATAAACAATAGTGCTAATTGTCCTTTGTTCTTGGACAACTTGATACCAAGCAGTACAAACATGTAATATTTGAAAATATAGGTCTTAGTAGGTTTCCAAGTTAAAATACCCTTGGATTTTGGACAAGGCTCATTATTCAAAGGCCTACATATTTTAGATAGTTTGTTAAGACAATTTGTAATGACTATCATCATACAGAATTTTAATAATTAGCCAGGAAGAAAGGGCTCGGCTGATGTTTATCGAAAATGATCAGCACGATTCCTAACTATATATGTATGTGGATTTTCAAAATCGGTTCTGGATTTTTGGCTTAAAGTTGGTCAAAGTGACAGAAAAAGTTTGTACTTTACTGATAATTATGGATAAACCAAAAAAAAAAAAAAAAAATTTTAATTATAAACTTATCTCATACTTCCTGGAAATCTAATAACTTATTTATTTAGTGGATTTCATTTTTATGGATTAAGCTGATTATATATAGCGATATATACATTTTTTTAATTTACTAAACAAACAATAATATAAGTATTACTATAATAATTACTAATTATTACTAATAATTTTTTTAACAGATGACTAATATATTTTCAGATGCTATTCGACCAAAGTACTGGCCTTCCAATTTAAGTATCCTGGATTGCAAATTTGATCAAAATTGTACAAGTCAATGGAATAATAGATTGTGGAGTGACAAAAGTGGATTTAACTACCCTTTTGTTCCTAGAACTGATTCAACTTGGAATGGTAAGACGAATTTTGTGTTATGAAAGTTTAATTATTAAATATCTGCGAAAAACCGAAGACCATAACAAATTTTAAGATTTTTATTATTATTTATTGAATTGTATCATTTAAACTATGGAACTGCATTTCAGATTTTAAAACCCTTTATTCTAATGGAAATGATTTTGGCGAGATACCAAAAGTTAACAAATTGCAAATCCTCGAAGAGGACACAAGCCAAGCCTATATTAGTTTTTCTGTAAAAGCTAAAAGAAATGTTGAAATAGTTTTGTGCTATAGGGAGTTATTTCTTTTCAATTGGAGCTACTTGATTTCAATATCATCCTTGGATGATGGCAAAACCACAATTATCAGAAAATGTCCTAAGGGAATGCCTGGTAGTGATCCTGAAGATGAAGAATGCCAAAAAGTCAGGGCTGAAGTTATACATCCAAATGTAAGATGAAAAAATATGCACTAAACTTAAATCAGTTTTGAGTCTAAGCGCAAAAGTTTGTTTTTTACAAATAAATTTGGAACTAATTTTTTACCTTTTCAGGTTTTAGTGGATGACGCAAGTTGGTCACATTTCACGATCTCCATATCTCAAAATCAATCTATGGTAAAAATAGTGTTATATGGGCAATTACAAGAAAATGATGAGTACGTGCCAATGTTGGAATATACTGACGACCAATATCCTTTACAAGTTAAATACTTTGGTGTGAGGAGCTTGGAAGAAGATGCACTATGGAAAGTTCATAAATGTAATGTCCTAATTTGTTGATCCAAAATCCAAATGTAGCAAACTGTTGATTGGTTTTTATATTTTAAAAGTATCACGTGATGTTACTGTATACTAGTATATAACCTCATCCCTGTTAACCAAATTGATAGTCCAGGATTGTTTATGATAATAGGGTTATTGGGGTTATTTTTGCAAAAATCCCAGACGTTTCTTTGTAATTACCCACTATAAAAAAATTTAGAACTTTAGCTACTCTTTTGCTATATTTGTTTGGGTATCTGTACCAGATATTAACAAAAATGTTGC